TTTGTGTTGGAAAGCAACAAGCCAGCTGTAAGCCATTACTCCACATGGTTCACAGCAGCTGCCTCTCTGCTACAAAGCAGGTTGGGACCAGACCTACGATCATCCACACTGCTTAATTGCTAATATGCTCCTCGGCACATTTTGAGGCACATGCCCACTAGTCTGCCAGGCACTGTTCAGGGAACAGGTTGGAGCAAGGACAGTCTCCAGGTGACAGTAGGGGAAAGGCAGGGAGAACAGAAATGGCACATGTAGACATGACTGTGTCATCTACTTGGTCTCAGAAAACAGCCTCTGATCACGTTATTACTTAGTACAGACTTCGATCCTAGAGCCATACCTGCTACTACCTTAGGTACTAAAAGCATGCTAACCACATTAAGGTGGTCATTATCCTTGGGCCAGTTGGCTGAGTTTTCAGGAAAGTCTGTATCTGAGGTGTAATGCTATTCAGTAAAATAAGAAAAAAAAAAGTGTGGTTTTATTTTGTATCATACTTAAAAACTGATCAGGGGCATTGTGATACGATGGAAATATTTTTCGATGGTCCTGTCCAGAACCAGGTATGAATACCTCCACCACAGAAAGCCATTCTCACACTGGTTGACCTGCCCGCTGCCATCAGCAGAAGCAGAACCCTGATGGTGCCCATTTGTGCAGCCACACTTCCATGCTATCAAGCAGACAGGGAAATGGAATAGGAGCAGCTTTGAACAGTGTCTGTGCTTCCCTCAAGGCGAAGAAAATGCTCATCTGTCTGGATCTACCACAGTTACTGCTGCTTTGCTCCAGTGAATGGGTACAAAGACCAAAGAGTGAAAGTCAGTGCAAGACTGTCCTGTTAGGCAAATACACAAGATAATTAAATTAAGAATACATGTGCAGTCTTAATTTTAGCATTCAGAAAGATCAACATTTTCTAACTATGAAGCTTATAATTTTAAACAAGTGGATTTCTAATACCATATCTCTGTATATATGCATATATCTACTCTTGGTCTGCTGGAAAATTTTTCTCTGAAGATATTTTTAACAAGATACAGATTTTCTACTGATTGCACAGGCTATTGACAAGAAAACCAGAAACAGATAACAGGAAAAAAAAAAAAAGAGAAATTGTTAAACTTTTAATAGAAATGCTTATATTTGCTTCATTCACTTGCTAATTGTGGTGTGATAATTTTTAATTTTTCCCCAAAGAAGGGGCATCCCTCTGCCATCTATCCTTTTTTATTAATCTTGTTATCATTGAAATATATGACTTACCTCCCTTTTATTCTGGAAGGGAAAAATAACCAAACAAGCAAAAACAAAACAAAACAAAACAAAACAAAGAAAAACAAAACAAAAAACAAAACAAACAAGCAAACAAAAAAAAAAAAAAAAGGCAAAAACCAAAGCAGCATGGAAAACACAGCAATAAGATTTTTGGTATTTTTTTGGTATTTCCCATGTAAGCTAAATTACTTCTTCAATCAGCCAAAATATGCATTTAGGAACATGCTGATGCTTTTCAAATTGTAGTAGATAGAGGTACTTAATCACCAGTTTAAGTAGAAAACGGGTACCAAGGGAATTTTCCATGGGGTGATTTAGCTGTATGCAAATCTCTTGTGTACTGAAGTATTGCAGTGCTCAGGAGCTGAACACTGTAGAGCTTGTCAAGGGATTAGGTAACAATGAAGATTTAAGAGCCAGGACAAAGCTAGATGTAGGCTGGGAGTAATATCCTGGTCAATATATCCTCTGGTGTAGACAGCTAGATAAACATGTAGATAAAACTTACTACAGCAATGTTCAAGCAAAATGCACCACAGGCAAAGATTTGAAGAGAAACTCCCACAAGACATTGACAGCTTTTTCCCTTTTCCATCCTTTTTACTGAATATTATTGTAATAATATTACTGAATATTATTTGAAGCATCATGGCAAAACCTCATGACTGAGCCCATTGTGGACCCAAACCTTCAGGGGATGCAATTTGTAATATTTCTCACCACTAACACAAATTCCACAGAGCTTGTGGTGCATGCTAGTTAGTAGATAATTTATATGTGTGAACTAAAAGCAGTACTGCTGTAAAGTATATGCATAAGGAATTTTTTTATAAATAAATTAAAGGTGTAAATAAATTGGAGGTTCATGTGTTCATAGAGTCAGTATTCTGCATCATAAAAAGGTCTACATTAAGATACAGCCTGCCATCCTCCAAGTGTATGCATCAATTTCTATAATGTTCATAAATAGCTCAGTTACTACCTGTAAAGTAGCTAAAGCAAAACTGAGACAAGCATCCAGGACGGAAGAAAACAATTCATCGTCTTACCCCCAGCCTGGGAATGGGTGGCTTTTGGTGCAGGAAGGTTCCCCTGAGCCACCTTAGACAGATGAGAGGCCAATATAGGGACAGGTCAGCCAGCATGGAAATTAAAACAGAGCAAAAGTGGATTATAGTTCAGTGGAAAAAAGAGCTGTAACTACACTTTGGAAAAAATTACAGCTGGTCTCACAGTTTTACCTTCATGCAAAGCCAAAATACTAAGAACTTCACATAGGACAAAAAAGTCATACCCCAGCTATCTGTATTGAACAGTGAGAAATGTTGATCCTGAAGTGCACAAGAAAAAAAATCAAAGCAGTGATCCTCCTTAGGTTTTGTACCACATGTTGAGCTTTGTGTGCGTCACTGGGTGTGGAAACTGACTCCCCAAGTCAATGGCTCAAATACAAGTATTTCAGTCCTCTGCCTTGGTTTGTCATCTTAAAAGCAATGAGACGAGATAATAATTTTTTTTTCTTTCCTTTATCCTTCACATGTATTCTTTGTGGATTGTAAGCCTCTGGGAATGTCTTTACCATATCGCATACACTCTCCTAATTAGATGCCTATGTAACACACAGGAATAATGTCAATTAATATCAACATTGCAGTTCATTAGATTTTTTGAGTTCTGGCCCATTGATTGATAGCAAAGAGTTTCTTTAAGAATGTAAAGTCAAAGTTGTCTTTGGTTTTTTGGGTTTTTGGTTGTTTCATTTGGGGGATTTCTGCAATGCAGACTGAGGGAAGACTTAGATTTTTCTGGCTCTTACTCTGAGCTGAAAGTGCCTACGACTGGGATGGGAGCCCAAGGTATAAGTGTTACGGAGAATTAGGATACCCTGATACAGGCTCAGTGTAGTGTTTTTATGTACATGTGGCTTTTGGAATAGGAATTCTCAGTCTTCTGCCAAGTACAAGGCCTATGCTTTCTCAAAAGCCCTCTTGTAAATTGTATCTTTAAGTAGGTCTTGAAATGTTTGAGACTTGAGTTGGTTGGAACAGAATCTGTCTCCACCAAATGAACACCAAGACCCTTAGTGATGACAGAACTTTTAATATAGGTGGGCAAATAAAGGAAGGCCCACTTTGTCCCAGACAAGGTATGCTAGGGAGGGTGGACTGCCAGAACAGCAAAGCAGAAGTCATGGTGGTGTTGGTGCCATGAACTACAGGAGTACAAAAAATGGCACAGCACAGTTTGCACAGAGAATCAAAACGAACTTTGTGCTTGAGGAAAGATATGTCCCTAAGCAGTGTGACATGGTGACACCTCTCACCTGAGTGTTACATCTCATGGGCTTTAAAGATCCATGAATGTCAATCAACTATGAAGGATTCTTCATGAGTGGAGGACACATGATTACTTTTTATGTGCAAGATATTCTAATTATTCTGTAGACATTCATTTCAGGTTACAGAATTTTTATCGAAAACCATTTAATTTTCAGTGGTTGTCACTTGAGTGGACAAAGTAGAGTAGCACAGGAAAATTACTTAGCACAGGTTCAGATCCTCCATCATTTGCATACACATGTATAATATAATTTTTGTCTTCTGCTTATACATAATGGCAGTAAAACTGCTAATATGCATTGAATACAGTGTGTTGCTAGTGTCAGATCATTAATAACAGTATGAAAAAATATATAATTTTTCATTATACCTGAGTACATTTTCTGGATAAAATGTACAAAATGTATATTTATGTACAAGTGTGTGACACGATATTGTTATAACTGCACATCCTGAACTTCCCTGGGCAATAACCAAAGTATCCACCATTATTGTAGTAAAGAGCAGAAACACAAACACACAAAAAAATATTCCAAAACCTTAAGGAAAGGATGTATATTCATATGTTTCAGGGCATAAAAGAGTTTGTGGATTAGGAGGAAATTTCCCCTGTGGACAAGCAGTCTCTGTAACAACCTACTGCAGAGCTTCCAGCATGCTCATCTGAAGATAGCCAATTTAATAAACACTTTACTTAAGAAGGTGGTCAGCTTATCTGATCCAGCATATCCTCTGTGTACTGACATGAAAAATGAGAGCCTCTTATATTATGCCTACCATGAGCAGTTTTGTCTGCTATAACTCTGTTCTTGATACTTTTCCAAATGTAAATTAAACCAACTTGTGGATAAGGTTTCCTTGTCTATATACCTTCTCCTCTTCCTACTCCTATCCCCACTGCAGAAGAATGTAAATTGACATCTCCTTACACTGCAGGCATATAGCATGTCTGGGAAATAATACCTGTAGCTCAGCAGAGTGTTGGCTGCACCACAGGAACAGAAAAAAGTGACCAGAGGTAAGACTCTGCTGAGTTTCCCCCCTAGCACTGGGTGACTCACTTGAGGCTCCACTTCACCTGTCTGATGTTTGCAGTCATTTTCCATGAGAAGGTGTCTTTAATTAAAACTCACTACATACTCCCATCAGAGGGGCACAACATTTCAGAGGATTGAGGCAGAACTACAGGTCTACTGAAGCAGGAGAGGGCAAGCTGTGTTTTTCCAGTGTCTATGCAAATTGGGGGGTTTTAAGCATGGGAGCTGTATGCTGAAGTCCCCAACAGTACTATATGTGGATGTGGTCCACTTAGGCTGTGACACACATCTTACACTTCTTCCCTCCACCCAAGACCCAGGCAGGGAACACAACAGGAAGCCATACCCCAGACTTAAGGGGAGGGTGCCAGCTACAAAATATGGGTATCCAGTCTTCCTCCTTAGGGTTCTCCACTGGGACAGTGGTTCTGCTCCTGAAAAGGGGTAGAGGAATGTGAGGGCTTGGGAACCAGCATTACTACAGGCATTTATTTCTGTATTTATTGCTTTGATTTTGGGCATCTCAGTGTGAAGTCAGTGAAAGCTGCAGGAATTCAGTATGTTGGAAAATCAGACCCAGCTTGTCTTAAATTGACTATCCAGGGCAAAATACTTCTCTGGAAGAATTTTAGTCTAGTTCAGTAGATACAGTTGCTTGCCAACTTTTTTACTTAAAGGTATAACAGCCTTCAGGTTGTTATATAGGTATAAAAGCCTATAACTTTCTCTTCATAATGATTTTGGTACATCTATTGTTTTCTATGAAAATGAAATATTGTCTTTTATATTGATGGTTAGTAAGCTGCATTTCAAATTTTTTTGGTTTATTTGCACGAAGGTAGTATAAATCACCTGCCCTGAGATTTTCCCACTGTGCTCCACAGAAGCATAGTCAGTAAGACTGTGGGGAGGGTTACACTTGTCAGTGAGGCTCGTGCTTGGACAGCCCAAAGTCACCTGGTCTTAAACACCCAGGAACCTTGATTATAGCCTATCCCTGGAGCCTACAGTAAGATATAGGCTCCCACCACGACATCCAGCCAGCCAGAAGTACCTCTGGGTACAGGGTCATTTCCATGGCAGGATTAATTTTTGGACACTGATGGAAGTCTTCAGAGCTGTTAGTTCAAATAAGTTTGGAAACTCCTGGATTACAGGACAACTCACAGTTTAGCAAGCTGTTGCCTGATGATTTTTCAGAAAAAAAATTAGAGAAAAAAGGAGAGCAAAATAAAACCATATGAACTTATGCTAAAATGGTCCTCTGACTCAGGGCATTTCAGTTTTAACTCGGAGAGGAGATTGTGGGAATTTAGAATTTTCACAAAGCAAATCCAAACCCAAGTGTCTTAAATTGACCACCCAAAGTCAGAAAGCTGCTTCTAACATGTTTTTCTTTTATTTAGTGTATGAATTATTAAACTGCTGTGAATTACCCATTCAACTTCAGGCTTCTAAACTGAGTCTGAAAGACTGTATATTCTACAGAATGCAGAAAATTAAGATTGTGCAGATGGAAAATACTTCTCTGATGCAGTCTTCTAAGATGTCTTACAAATACTGAGCATCAGCTCCTGTGCAGAATGCAGCTGGGTGTCATTCAAGCAGTTCTTTGAGGGATATTACAGGACGATGTTATATGCATGGAGATGGGAGTATCTGAGGCTTCCTTCAAGAAGCAGTAATCTCAGGAAGTGATGCTCACAGGAAGGTGTGCTGCTCCTTTCAGAGGTGATATTAATGCTTGCTAATTCCTTCAGTGCTACTGCCTAAGCATTTTATTATTGCTTTCCCCATTCCCAAGAACTGTGGAGGCTGACATGCATTTATGCTGGGACTACTAATACACAGCTTTACAACACACCACTAAGATCCTCAGGAGCCTTCCTCCAAAATACGCACAGATATTCTCTTCATGACCAACGTTTGCTGAATCTGTTGTTAATTAAGAGCCATTAATTCAGTAATCCACCAAAAATCAGAATTCTAAGTGGCTTTCTGTATTGGCTCTTAAGTATTTCTCTGAAACTTCATCACATGAGAGTTTTCAATCTCAGCAAGCTCCTCCAGGTCAGTAAGTGAAAGACAATAACAAAGCAAAGCAAAACATGTAACAAATTCAATGAGCATCTATTATCAGCCTGATTACACACTGCACCACACAGAATCATAGTGATTTCAGTGAAGCTCCATATGGCATAAGGGTCTCCTCATGGAATATCTCCTCCCTTCACCCCTTCCCATTCTGTATAGAGCAGCATAAAACAAAGGCCTGCCTTTTTTGCATATTTGCAATGTTGTAGTTGTTGATAGGTTTGTACAATGATTCAAATTACAATAGCTAAGAAAATATTTCCAAGTGCCATCTCAAGCCTACCTTGGTTTTTCTCACTTTGGTCACTCAAGCAATCTTCTCTGTCCAGTCACCTTTCTAATAATCATTTCGATGCATTCCAGTTGCCACAGCATTAGGTATAAATGCCTAAATTCATACTATTCAGTTCCATTCAGGCATAATTTCATGGGAGGACTCGGTTTGCAATATAAAGTGAAAAAACTCAAATGTCAGAAACTTCATATTGATACTTTGATCAGAAGCAACATGAGACTGAAAGTTTTTGAACAACAAACCATTTGAGAGTGTGTAACATGCTTGTGAAAATATTCATAGCATAATTAGATAAATAACAGATCCAGTGTCTATTTTTACTTTCCCTTGATGAGAAGCTTTGCAGGAGAGACTGCTGGTAGTTAATTCTCCCTAACAACAATCTGTGTAATCACAAACCCCAATTAGCTGTGCCTGTTCTATGCTATACAAACTATTTCCTTAGCGCTTCACATCACTACTTTGTAATTAGCTTTCATCTACATGAGCTTTGACTAAAAAAATATAAAAGAGTGTAAGTGATTGTACTGCCACTCAGTATTCTGCGAAATAATCGCTAGCGATTTCAATCAGATTAATTTTATCACCCATATTAAGGAAAATTACCTCCCTCTTCACTCTCTACAGCTGAGGGCTATTTCATTTCCTGAGATGTTCATAAAAGCATAATATAAAGCAATCTGTAATTGTAAATATCCTTCCCTAATAACTTTGAGATATTTCCTTAATACATCTTTACATTTGGAGTTTCCGTTCCATAAAATACAGTAACAAGTGCTCTATTATGTTTTAAGTGTGTGCTGTTAAGCTGGACAACTTAGCGCTGTCCTTCCTGTTTTTACATAGGGTTATATTTAACTTGCAGATAATGGGAACAAGGTTTAAAAGTGATGGAGCGGAATAATGGCGTTACAGCAATAATATATCTTGCCTTTGTGAGGAATAGAACTTTACAGCCTATTTCAGGTCAGCCAACACCAATTCCATTTTTCACAGCCTGACAACTTTCACCTTCACCCACACTCCAGATGGATATTAAAAACTACTTTCCAAACAAAGCTGAGGTTTTGCTACACCCATGCTCTACATCTGGGGAGAGCCCTTTGATACTTAAAATCAGTATATAATATAAAATAAAATAAAAACAGGGAGCCTGCAGCAGCTGCATGCCACTGACTTGTTTGGTGAACTTCCCAGGTAGTCAAAGAGCAAAGCAAGCTGCTCAGGTCTTACCAGAGGTGTCATAGCAGGAGAATTTCTGCAACTTCAACACTTGCATGTTGAAATTCTGCAGAGAGAACATGGCATTAGTAAAAATTTAGCACCTGCTTTGTGGGAAATGTGAGGTGTGTGCTAGGTGTACCATAGCAGCTCCATATAGCACCACCAAGAAGGTTTGTTAGGGTTTCCAGGCCACCAGCACTTTCCACTGAACACAGATAAAGACAGCTGGGAACACAGCTGACTGTACCCTGAGTTGGTCATACTCCCACTTTTATCTGTAAGCATTGGTCCTGAATATACCTGTTTATTTAAAAATAAATAAATAAATAAAGGAAAACAATACAAAAGGCACTGGGTGACTAAAATGACTATGATGTGTTCTCACCCATACATGTATATGTTGTCTGCATTGCAGGGCTTTCCCCCAGCATCCTCAGCTTCACCACAGATGTACAAGGCCAGTGATACAGCAAGCACACTGCTCACATCAGAACCAACACAGCCTAAGGCAGTTTTAAGCTGCCCCTCTTCTCCTCAGAAAGCAAATTTCCAGCCTTTCAAAGGTAAAGGCATCTCATCATCTGAGCAGCTCTGTTCTTTGCTGCCAGTACATAGGAAGTCTACCTGTCATGCTGGAGAGATGACTGGTATGAGACAAAGACTGAGATGGGCAAGAAAGCCTCTCCACTGGAGAAGGGAATTCTTTCTGCCTGCTGCAGTGGAGTCTGAAATGTTCCCAAGTAGCAAAGCCCCAGGGGTAAATGAGATGTCTGCATAGCAAATCACACAGGTTTCCCCAGCACACTGTGAGTTGCTGCACATTGTTGTATATCCCTTGGCACTATGAGACTCTGTACTGTATGTGAGATGAAGAATAACACAGTGTATCTTGAAATCTTAAGAATGGGGTGGGGTTTGTTGGAGATGTGATATAGTTTCATCAGTGTCATGGTGTCAGGATATGGTAGATACTACAGGTATCACTGGAATCAAATGTATTGCACTCACCCTTCTTTCTACAGGAGCAAGATAAACTTTCCAACCTTTTAGGCAGGCATGAGAAAAAGTTCTTTCTCATCTAGAGCAACATCTTGACTGTTTGCAAATATGTCTCTTTGTAAACATGGATGGGACACACTAGGAAGATACAGTGAAATGGGTTAGTTTCCTTTGCTGTTCCCTTAAGATGGAGTACAGACATTTTACCTCTACTCTTTCCCAGTATTCATGTTTCTGTAATGGTACAAGACACTGAAGACCAGATTATACATTTCACCTTACCATGACAGACTAATCACAAAGTGACTTTCAACTGGCCTGAGTCTCCGCAGGAATCCCTGTGGCTGAACCTTTCCCAAGGATGTTGCCAAGAAAGAGGTCTGCAGCTAGTCCCCCACATGGCACAGATATTCCCAGAAGTGTCATCACCCACTCCCTTTTCTTCTGCTTGAGGAGCGTGCAGGGACAGGGATGCCACAGACAGAAACACTGAATCCCCTGAGGAAAATGAAGAGGAATCATTACAAGAAGAAAGGCTCAAGTTTATATATCTGCAGAAAAACTCAAATTAAGCATGTGAATTTTAATTTTCACATGCTTAAATTTTTATTTCTGAGAAGGCCAGCTAATAAACAAAGTCACCTATTACAGTTGTACAAATGTTGCGTCCCCACTGTTTAATATTGTCAGGAAACAAAGTGAAACTAATAAAAATTCAGTATCCCTGGCAAATATCTGAAACTCTTTTATGTGGAATGAGGATACAGCTAGGGCTCAAAAAACATGTGTTTTCAGTCCCACTGAAAATTTCACTGTCTTCATATTTGCTTTTATCCCAATTTGGAACAGAAAGTCAAACATTGACTACTGAAACTTCTGAAAATCACAAAGTTCAGAAGTGTCAAAACATGCCACTTTAGTATTTCTGATCTAAAGGAAATGCTGAATATAACAAAACTGCAATACTGAATAACATTTTTTGAATGAAACCAAAGCATTTCATTTTAGCTAAGTTCAATACCAATGTATGTCTCCCTGACATGATCTTGATACCTCACAAAAGCTAGAGTTTAGATGCCTTGCATTATTAATTTTTTGCTATGGACAGATTTGCTGAGTGTGCCACAAGGTACACATCACCCGTCATACGAATCACCAGATAAGACCTCCAGTTGCATCTGACGAAGTGGAATCCACTGATGAGATGTTTCTATACGGATCTTGGTCACCAGGGTGTAAGGCACAGCTACAGTGCAGGGCAACAGAGAAAAATGTTGAACAAATCTGAAACAAAATACTTAGTTTAGTTCAACAAGATAAAGGGTTTTGAATCACGTTGATCCAACCGCGAGCAAGACACACTTTCGCAGATTTCTAAAGGTGATGAAGTAGTTGTTGAAAGTTATACTGAATGTCGTGTATTTGTACAGTGGTCATTCCTAAAGACACTCTGGACCCCACTGGGCAAAATAATGTGCATTACTAAATAGTTATACTGATGACCAGTGCCACTTTATCATTACAAATTAGAATACTGTAAGTTATTTGACTTACAGTATTTATCTCAGCTGAGATAAAGTTAGCTAAGATAATGACAAGTTTTCTGACCACTATAAATACATATTGCTGTCACATTTAAACTAGTAGATAATTAATGCAGAGCCAGCTGCTACTAATATATTGCACTAAGACTTGTTAATACAAGGCTATAATAAAGCTGTTAATACTGCTAATACCATACAGCATTTAAAAACTGTTGCAAAATTTTCCTTAGAATTGTTTCCTTGCTCTGGAGGGGTTCATTACATTTTGGGGTTTTTTTTCATAATTAATCTCCAACAGCATGTATCATGTTATCTTTCATAAATTAAGTCATCCCTTGCCCCAAGGGTCCTACAGTTTAAAAGGCAACAACAAGTCAAGATGTTTTAGAAATATAAACCAAGTAGAATTCATTATTTGCCTTATAACAGAAGCTGTAGACCCCAACTAGCACAGGACTTCACTGTTTGTACATACATTTCAGACAGAAAAGGAAAGATAGTCTTTGTCCTGAAGAGCTTGAATTAAATCAATATAAATCTAGAGGAAAGTATAGCTTAACAAAATTGCTTTTTGCTTGTAAGAGTCTCTTTTTTCTCCTTTTCACTCAAACCCAAGAAAATCAGCAGTGGTGATAGGCATTTAAAGGCACAATCAAAACCTCTTGAAATCTGTGGAAGTTTTGGAGCATGCTTTTAAAAATTCAGCTTCAGTTATCCAGATGTCTAAGAAATATCCTACCATAAGTGAAAGGAAGGCATTCTCTGCTAATTCACTCACTCTTACAATAAAGCTAACTGAAAATGAGAATAGTTCTGATCACCAGAGTCAGAAATTGGTATTCCAACAGTTTCATAACAGAAGTCAGTTTGCCTCCATTTTACTAAATTATACTGTTCAGTAGTTAGAAACTCATTTTATAAGCAAATACGTACTTACCTATTTTTTAAGGCTCTGACCCACTGCTCATCTTAATGGCTTATAACTAAGAGTGTTCCAACTGGTTGATACCATCTGTCTGAATCTGCTAGACAAAAGGGTAGCAGACTAGATGTGTGGCTCTAGTTCATTTAGTTTATATTCAAGAAACTGTGACATTAGGCTTTGGTATGGAACTCTGATGAAATATTATGGAAGCCAAATGACTGTTTTTCTTTAACAGGGGAAAAAAAAAGGTAGTGACTAATTAAACAGCAATAAAAAAGAATGACATGGCAGCTGTGGACTGTGTTATTCTCTGATCCCTAGATGGGCACTGAAATAGCCCGTCTTCTGAGAATTCGGAAGGAGACACAGAAGGGAAAATGTAGATTTCTGCGTGCCCAAAGTTAAAACTATCTCACTAAAAGAAAGACAAGAAGGAAGGGGAGTAGATGGGTGCTCTGAATTGTGTCTGGGGACCAGATCTGTGGGCTTGTGTACGGTATCTGTGGATGGTCCTGTGGTTGATTCCCATGTGAATTCAAGGAATACAGTCACCTCCAATAAGCGGAAAAGACTGTCGGTGATA